CCGTTAATTCCCCCGGTACCGGTCCACACACCCCCCCCACGGGACCGATTCCCGCTCACCGAGCTGCTCCGAGAGCTGCCGGAGGTACCGGTGGCTGTCCTCGCTGAAGCCCTGCAGCAGCTTCAGCGCTTGCTGGAGTTCATCCAGCTGCGGGGAAAAAAAAAAACAAACCCACAAGACAAAAATTTTTTAAAAAATTCAAATTTTTTGAATTTTTCAGGCCCAAAAGTAACTCACCCCAAGCTCGACGCAGCTCAGGACGTCCCGCTGCTCATCCAGGAGCTGCTGGTAGTTGGGTTTGGTGCCGAGGACGTGCGCTTGCGACGTCTGGAGGTAATTCGGGGGCTCGGTGCCAGCCCCGCTCCGCTTGCGCTCCTCCAGCTGCCTGGAAAAAAAAAACCAAAGTGACATCACATTGACACAACTCTGACATCATCACCGCGGGGTTTTTTTTTTTCCTTTCACACACCTGGAGATTTCTGCGGCGCTTTCCTGGTGGCGCAGCAAGAGCTGATCCCAGGCTTGGCATTCGGCGGTGAACCTGCGGGGAGAAAGAGGAGATCTACGCTCGAGCGTTCCAACCACAGAGGAAAAAAAAAACCTGAAAAAAAGTTAAATTCCCCCAAAAATATTCCCGCGGCGGCGTTGAGGGTCTCGGAGCGTGCGCACCTGGTGATGTACTCCTTCACTTGCGCCACCGATTCCTCCAAAGCCGTGTCCAGAGAAATCCTAAAGCACGGACACGACACAGGAGAGATTAATTATCGCAGGTTAATTTTGGAAACGAATCCGCATCCGCGTACGCTCCGCGGGGGATGAGTTCGGTGTGGCCTTACCCTTGAGGGTTTTCCACGCAGCTCTTGAGCGTTCCGTCTTGTTTTAATTTCTGCACGTAACGCTTCAGGTCTTCCGACACCGAGTGCGCTGGAGGGGAAGATAAAATTAAAAAAAAAAAAGGATAAAACAACCGCAGAGAAAATTACCCAGCCACGAAGCTGTCTCATCACATACGGCTCCAGTTCCTTGTCAGAAAACATTCTAGTTTTTATTTCACAGTTTCGGAAGCGATAACTCATCTCTACGACAAGTTGGTTTCAGTATTTCCATTTCTTTTCCCTCCCAGGAAAAAAAAAAAAAAAAAAAAAATCCCTCCCATCTTAAAAAAAAAATTTTAAAAACATTTCCCCCCCATCTTAAAAAAAATCATTCACGTATTTTTCGCCGCACCCACCCCTCCCGTCCGGTTTCAATTTAGGAGGATGAGAGGGAAGGTCGGGATTTTCGAGCGCGGGATCGTCCTCGCTTGGTGGTATCTCACACCTTACCGTTGGCTTTGAAAGCCTCGGGGTTAAAGCCGTCGGTCTGCTTCAAGACGTGTTCGAGCTTCTGCGCAGAAAACTAAAGGAAGAGGGAAAAGAACGTCTGAGCGCCCGGGTTGTGCCGCAAAGCTCGTGGGAGGATTAATTACCGAAGGAGGACGGAGTCTCTCCTCCCCTGATGCGGATTTTAGAACTCAAAATATCACAACAGTGGCAGAAGAAAGGCAGGAGAAAAAATAATTTGCTTTTAAAAGAGAGAATTTTACCTGGAAACTGGACAGCAGCAGCGTAGAGAGCCGGTCAGTCTCCGGCAGATCCAGGCTAATTGATTTGCTTAATTCTGGGGGGAAAAAAGAAAAAAAAAAGAATAAAATTGTTTAAAAACAAATTCACACCAAGCTACAAGCAGCTGGAATGTTCCAGAAAGACCCTAAAAGGAGGAGTGTGGTTTGCAAGAGAGGGAAGAAGCAGGGAAAAGAGGGAGAAAACAGAGCTCCTAACAAGGAAAAAAAAAAAAAAAATCACATTTAAGGCTCAAACACAGAAATAAAAAATCAGAGAGTGCAAACCCCTGGTCTACAGAAGCCATTCCTGCAGCCCCTCCTTTTATCCTCCAAATACCTGGACCCCTGAGGTCACTGCCAACACGGACATCAGCAGCTACTCGTTAGGAATAACGCAATTAAGATTGTTAATTACCCTAAAGGTCATACCCTGAAATTAAAATTTCATTTTTCTGCAGGCTGCCCTACAAGTTTCGAACGAGAGAGCTTGATAAAGGGAAAGCGCAGAGCACGAACCAGTGACATCTTGGTGAACAGGAGGCAGAGATTTTCGGCGTTTCGTCCCCTTCAGGCTCGAACGACGCCAAGAGCGCCGCTCGGCTCGAGGAGTGGGGCTGAGCGCTCTCAGGGACAAGTTAAACGAACTCATGATATTGTCCTTCCTGGGACTGCTTCTCCGGAGAGACAGCCTCTTGGGATTCGATCCGAGGGAGCTTTTCCTGAGGCCGGGACTTCCATGGGATCTTTTTCTTATACCTGCTCTGGTTGTCTCATGGGCACTAATGTTCTTTTTGCTCACTGCAGTTACGTCTGGTGGCTTTAGGAACTGCTCAGGCTTCTCTCCAGGGTCAGGATCTGAGGAAAAACAACACAAAATCAGCACTTTACCAAGGTAAAACGAAAGGAAAGTGTCTTCCCCAGGGATTCAAAACCCCTGAACTTTTTTTTTG